AAACGCAATATCCAATATATACTTTCCAATGTCAAATAGAGACAATAAACGCAATATCCAATATATACTCTCCAATGTTAAATTGAGACAATAAACGCAATATGTAATATATACACTCCAATGACAAATTGAGACAATAAACGCAATATTCAGTACATAATCTGCAATGTTAAATTGAGACAATAAACGCAATATCCAATATATACTCTCCAATGTCAAATTGAGGCAATAAACGCAATATCCAATATATACTTTCCAATGTCAAATAGAGACAATAAACGCAATATCCAATATATACTCTCCAATGTCAAATTGAGACAAAAAACGCAATATCTATTATATGCACTCCAATGTTAAATTGAGACAATAAACGCAATATCCAATATATATATAGTTTCCAATCAAATCCAATGTCAAATTGAGGCAATAAACGTTAAATTGAGACAATATCCAATATATACTTTCCAATGTCAAATAGAGACAATAAACGCAATATCCAATATATAATGTCAAATTGAGACAATAAACGCAATATCTCCAATGTCAAATTGAGACAAAAAACGCAATATCTATTATATGCACTCCAATGTTAAATTGAGACAATAAACGCAATATCCAATATATACTCTCCAATGTCAAATTGAGACAATAAACGCAATATCCAATATATATATAATCTCTCCAATGTCAAATTGAGACAATAAACGCAATATCTAATATATACACAATATCCAATGTCAAATTGAGACAATAAACAATAAACGCAATATCCAATATATACTTCCAATGTCAAATTGAGAAAATAAACGCAATATCCAATATATAGTCTCCAATCTCAAATTGAGACAATAAACGCAATATTCAGTAATATATACAATAAACTATCCAATGTCAAATTGAGACAATGAACGCAATATTCAGTATATAATCTCCAATGTTAAATTGAGACAATAAACGCAATATTCAATATACACTCTCCAATGTCAAATTGAGACAATAAACGCAATATCTAATATATACACGCCAATGTCAAATAGAGACAATAAACGCAATATTCAGTATATAATCTCCAATGTTAAATTGAGACAATAAACGCAATATCCAATATACACTCTCCAAACTCAAATTGAGACAATAAACGCAATATCTATTATATGCACTCCACTGTCAAATTGAGACAATAAACGCAATATCTATTATATGCACTCCAATGTCAAATTGAGACAATAAACGCAATATTCAGTATACAATCTCCAATGTTAAATTGAGACAATAAACGCAATATCCAATATACACTTTCCAATGTCAAATTGAGACAATAAACGCAATATCTAATATATACACTCCAATGTCAAATTGAGACAATAAACGCAATATTCAGTATATAATCTCCAATGTCAAATTGAGACAATAAACGCAATATCCAATATATACACTCCAATGTCAAATTGAGACAATAAACGCAATATTCAGTATATAATGTCCAATGTTAAATTGAGACAATAAACGCAATATGTAAATATAAACGCAATATCACACTCTCCAATGACAAATTGAGACAATAAACGCAATATTCAGTACATAATCTCAATGTTAAATTGAGACAATAAACGCAATATCCAATATATACTCTCCAATGTCAAATTGAAACAACAAACGCAATATCCAATATATACTTTCCAATGTCAAATTGAGTGACAATAAACGCAATATCCAATATATATCTAATATCCAATGTTAAATTGAGACAATAAACGCAATATCCAATATATACACTCCAATGACAAATTGAGACAATAAACGCAATATTCAGTACATAATCTATTCCAAATGTTAAATTGAGACAATAAACGCAATATCCAATATATACTCCAATCAATGTCAAATTGAGACAATAAACGCAATATCCAATATATACTCCAATGTCAAATTGAAAATGAACGAATATCCAAAAAACCCAATGCAAATTGATCAATAAACGCAATATTATATGCACTCCAATGTTAAATTGAGACAATGAACGCAATATCCAATATACACTCTCCAATGTCAAAGTGAGACAATAAACGCAACATCTAATATATACACTCCAATGTCAAATTGAGACAATAAACGCAATAGTCAGTATATAATCTCCAATGTCAAATTGAGACAATAAACGCAATATCCAATATATACTCTCCAATGTCAAATTTAGACAATAAACGCAATATTCAGTATATAATATCCAATGTCAAATTGAGACAATAAACGCAATATCCAATATACACTCTACAATGTCAAATTGAGACAATAAACGCAATATTCAGTATATAATCTCCAATGTTAAATTGAGACAATAAACGCAATATCCAATATATACTCTCCAATGTCAAATTTAGACAATAAACGCAATATCCAATATACACTCTCCAATGCCAAATGGAGACAATAAACGCAATATCTAATATATACACTCCAATGTCAAATTGAGACAATAAACGCAATATCCAGTATATAATCTCCAATGTCAAATTGAGAAAATAAACGCAATATCCAATATACACTCTCCAATGTCAAATTGAGACAATAAACGCAATATTCAGTATATAATCTCCAATGTTAAATTGAGACAATAAACGCAATATCCAATATATACTCCCCAATGTCAAATTGAGACAATAAACGCAATATCCAATATATACTCTCCAATGTCAAATTGAGACAATAAACGCAATATCTAATATATACACTCCAATGTCAAATTGAGACAATAAACGCAATATCCAATATATACTCTCCAATGTCAAATTGAGACAATAAACGCAATATCCAATATATACTCTCCAATGTCAAATTGAGACAATGAACGCAAACGCAATATTATATAATTCAATGTAAATAGAAAATAAACGCAATATCTCCAATGTCAAATTGAGACAATAAACGCAATATCCAATATATAAACGCAATATCCAATATATACCCCAATGTCAAATTGAGACAATAAACGCAATATCCAATAATATATAAATTGAGACAATAAACTATCCAATGTCAAATTGAGACAATAAACGCAATATCCAATATATACTCCAATGTCAAATTGAGACAATAAACGCAATATCCAATATATACTGAACGCAATATTCAGTATATAATCTCCAATGTCAAATTGAGACAATAAACGCAATATCCAATATATACTCTCCAATGTCAAATTGAGACAATAAACGCAATATCTAATATATACACTCAAATGTCAAATTGAGACAATAAATATAATATTCAAATTGAGACAATAAACGCAATATAATGTCCAATGTTAAATTGAGACAATAAATGCGCATATAATGTTAAATTGAGACAATAAACGCAATATACGCTTCAATGACAAATTGAGACAATAAACGCAATATTCAGTACATAATCTCCAATGTTAAATTGAGACACTAAACGCAATATCCAATATATACTCTCCAATGTCAAATTGAGACAATAAACGCAATATCCAATATATACTCTCCAATGTCAAATTGAGACAATAAACGCAATATCCAATATACACTCTCCAATGTCAAATTGAGACAATAAACGCAATATCTAATATATACACTCCAATGTCAAATTGAGACAATAAATGCAATATTCAGTATATAATGTCCAATGTTAAATTGAGACACTAAACGCAATATCCAATATATACTCTCCAATGTCACAAATTAAATTATTTGTAAATTAACTCAATTCATGTAAAAAAAAGTGAATTAACTGATACAGAGATATCCTAACGCACCCCATACACACAAACAACAACAAAAAATTAGAACAATCTACCTCCGTGGACTAAATTCTAACGTAAGTTAAATCTGAGGAAATCCAGAACGTACAACGGTTGAAACGCCGTGAATATGACAATAAAGATGAGGGCAACAGTCCGAATGATGTAAATAGTATAAATAATCAAGATAAAGATAATAAATCAAATAACAATGACAATTCCTAAAAAAAGGACCAATAAAGATTAAATCCATTGGAGTTTTACTTTTTTTCGGGTCGTAAGAGTATTAATCAATAGTCCTCAATTTTTTTTTGCCGCTACCACTATTATTATTATTATTAGTAGTAGTAGTAGTAGTAGTACTAATAGTAGTAGTAGTAGTAATATAATGTAATGTGAATAGCGTGAATGTCGATTCTGTTATTTGCTATGACAACGGTAGCTGTCAAAATCTTTTTCATACTTGAATGGTTTTCAGCGAGGCTTGAAGTGATCGGAAAATGTCGTATAAAACCAATTTGCTATTTTTCTTTCTTCTTTTTTTTTTTTAAGAAATTAATATTTAAATAAAACCTTGCGCAGAGAAGAGAAAAATGAATCATTTTGTAAATTTGTACCAAGAACCTATTTGGTGGTTCAGGTAGTGTCTCTTGTTGATGATGTTTGAGAACTTGTAAAGGTCACGATTTCGAATGTTAATTAAGATCTTTCACTCTTAAACAAGAAAAGTTACTGTAAAATCAGTCAACACCAAAAAGATATATAGGTCCATTTCTCTGTATGTAGATATCAACAATTTCGCTTCTTGTAATGCAAAATCGTGCTCAATATTAAACCCTCTTGGCGTAACACAATCTTTTTTGGTAATGATTCTGAAAAATTACAAAATGTAGAAATAAAATAAGGATTTTTCTTTTCATATTTCAAATACAAAACAAACATCAGTCATAATGATATTTGATAATAATTGATTGATTCATTTTTACATCTTACGAATCTTTTGCAGAAAGCCAGAGGATATTTTTAGATTAAAATTATGTTTTGTTTTTTTTGGATGATAATGATCTTGTGATACATGTTTTACCAATTAATCCATAGCTAGGAGGGAAAAAAGGTTAAGTCATACCTTTACAAAGGTATTTACGCTTAAGTGAAGATAACAAACCCAACTGGAATTGGAACTCGGATCACCGATTAATAATTCCGAGCCATTATCCTTTACATCACCCACACATCCAAGCTTACAGCACCTGCTATTCCCAAGCGGATACCCATCTTGATGCTGACCAAACTCGACGCTGCTTAACTTCGGTGATCGTAAGGGAACCAGGGTTTTAACGTGATATTGCCATGTAATAGACAGGTCTAGGTTCATGCCTTTGAACCTGAAATAAAACTAGCGATCAATAATCTACATGAGTTTTTGATCAGATAAGAAATTTTTATTTGTAGCTTTTTTGTATAATGATGGCTGGCGCAAGTTCTGACCCATTCTCTGTTCAGCATGACCCTTAAAAGCAGTCGGGTTTAAGTAGTACAGTATCCCAAGAGAGAGAGAGAGAGAGAGAGAGAGAGAGAGAGAGAATAATTCAAGTAATTCTAAAATATGTCTTCAGTTTAAAACATCACTGCTGTCACCTTTTTCAAGCCGAAATACAACCCAAAACAATTTTATTTGAACTCATCATCACCGTACAACACACACTTGTTTTCCTTCATCGACGAATTTTCTTTATTTTCCGTTCTTATATGGGCTAATGAACTCACTTATGCTGGCTCAGGTCTTTTTAACACTGTGTAGCAAAAATAGGTGCCATTAACGGCCAGTTTTTCTATTTCTTTTCTTTTTTTATCCTGCCAACCTTTTTCCCGCTAAACATGTTTTCGTCATGTTTTGGGCGCCATTTTTCATGTTTGCTTCATATAATGGCGACCGGGGATGAGAAAATGACTCAACATTTAGGATATTTCTTTCATTAGCAGATATTGTTTTGAAGGCAAGCTTAATTTACTCGTGATGTTACAGAGAATCAGGTAAAAAACATTCAATGTTGCACGAAGATTGTAGTTGCGCGAATTACTATATTCAATAAACAAAGATGAAGAGTCGTGAACGGAGTGTCGAATCAGTGGTTGAATTTGGAACACGAAGTTTTTTTCAAGTATTTATTTAATGAAGGCCTCATCTTTATGACTAAGTTGTTCCGAATGAAGTGTTACAACGATCCACGATTACGGGAGGCGTTGGTTGTGCATGAAAAATAGAAACGACCAACTTTGTTGCATTTACTTTCGCACTAATGCCATTGGGAAAGATATGGTGTTACCTAGTGGCGAAGGGTGACTTTGAATCCGAGGCATACAGTCCGTGATGACTGCTAATGATTACGTGACAAATCTAGGAATATAATAAAAATCTAAGAATAATGATATATTTGAACATTTATTTATTTTCACTATTTACATTGTTCGGACCGTTGTACTCATCTTCATAGTGATATTCACGACGTTTCGGCCGTTGTACGCTTCGGCCTTCTTCAGGGTCTGTCTATATTTCTGAAATGAGGTATTGTAACTATTTACACTATTTATATTGTTTGGTTCGTTGTGCTGATCTTCATAAGTCATATTCACAACGTTTTAGATGTTGTACGATCCGACCTTGGAATTTCGAACCGAACCCTTTATTTATTTACACTATTTACATTATTCGGACGGTTTACCTTATATTTATTGTCATATTCCGCAGGGCACATGGCCCAGTGGATAAAAGCAATGGTTGAAATAATCCAGTGATTTGACCCAAAGAGTTGTGAGTTCAATACCTGGCCACAGCAGAGGTGAACAAAAACGCGAAGAGCTGAGTTACTAAAAGGAAATAACTGAAATCGAGATATCCAGAAAAGGCATGGCACGTGGAACTAGAACAATCGAAATCATAACGTATATCACCTGAAGAAGGTCGGAGCGTACAACGGCCGAAACGTCATGAATATGGCAGTAAAGATGAGGATAACAGTTTGAACGATGTAAATAGTTGCAATACCTCATCTCAGAAATATAGACAGATTTGTAAATTAACTCAATTCATGTAAAAAAACGAAAATGAAAAAAAATCATATATAAGAAAAAAGCTTGCAAGCATCAGAATCCTTGCTGTGTTACCCTTGGTCTGTCATTTCCCTTTTGTTTCTCTACTCTTAATCGAATCCAGCAACTCTCTGACCCAAAAGTGGCAGGTATAGTTCGAACAGGAAAAAGCAGCTCACTTTCACTCCTCAACCTTCCTTCACTGAGTTCCGCCACGTTAAATCTGCCCGTGCATAAGACTGGGGCGAGAGGGATATAGCAACACATGATCTTCTCTGCTTACACTACTCTCCTAACATCGCTTGCTCACAATTTATCATAAGAACTGAAAGAATATGAAATTTTAAAAATATCATCGTTCGGACTGTTATCCTCATTTTTATTGCCATATTAGTAATTGAACTATCCAAGCTCTTTTTTTTCACCACTGCTGTAGTCAGGTATTGAACTTACAGCTCTTTGTTTCAAGTCACTTTTGGAATAATTTTACCAACGATTTTATCCACTGTGCCATGTGTCCCTAATGATTGCGATGCAGGTAAAATGAACGGCTCCCTGTACCGCTTCAGTAAGTACTTGAATCTTCATGCTATTTTCTACCTTTATAAGAGCCAGATCAGGCCGAAAATGGAGTACTGTTACCATATTTAGGCAGGAGTCTTTGTTGGAGAAGAATTATTTTCCACCATCCATCTTCTCATTCACAGGCGGGATGCTATATCGCTACTTCCATGGAAAGTGCTCAGACGAACTACATTCTTTCGTCTCGTCACGTCTAACCTTCACGGCTAGGACCCACCATGCCACTTACAAAGTATCAAACCAACCACATTCCCTCCGTATTCCATCGACGAGAAGTAAGTTCCACTCAAACAGCTTCTTCTCGCGTTAATCGAGAGCTCAAAATAAAACATTGATATATTTTGGATTTCAATATAAAACGAATATCGCACATTAGCTAAAAAGACTTTATCAGTTTTATTGCAATTTTCTACTTCTTATTTATTTGAATTAAGTTTCTCAAACCTAAATGACATAAAAATAAGAGAAAGACTACACTCAGCTGAAGAAGAAATGAGGGTCTGCTTATCGCACATTCGATCAAACATTGAAGAAATCGAAATAAAAAAAAACAAAAAACAAAAAAAAACAAAACAAAAAAACACCAGGCACAGATTTCAAACTAAGCTGCACAAATAGTAATATTGAAATAAAGTAAGTTCATATTTGGCGTGTGTATTAAAAAAACAAAAAAACAAACTATGTTTTTTTTTTCATAACCTTTAAATGTATACCTTTTAAGAATTTTACTAAGTGCAAATGAATCCACACTTAGATTTATTTTTAAAAATTATCTTGTTTGAAAGTATGTTTTCATAATTCATCATGAGTTTGGTCATTTCGGCATTAATCTGTACGCCAAATCTGGAGAATGTTTCATTCATGTTCCTCGCCAGACCTGATGACTTTCCATTCTTTGTCAGTTAGAATATCAAAAGCGAAGGTTTGTGAAGTTTCCACTTTCGATGCTGAATGTGGTCACGTGTTCCTCAAGAGCGTCACTCATGAAGCGTTTAAAGAAGATATTAAAGAACACGGGAGGCAGAAAGACGGCTTTGGCATTGACTGACTGATGTGTGGAACAACTTTCCTATGGAACACTGAACCAATATTGTGTTATTTGCTTTCTCATTCAACGACTGTAGAGTGTAGATTCAAGATTTATTCATTGTGATATCAAAATAGATCGTTGTCGATGATTATCTAATGCCGGTAATCCTAATTTTTCAAACTTGATCAAATGTTTCACGTGGCACTGCAATGACAACATTTGTGTGCTGTGATATCTTCATTTGCTCCGGGGGGTACCGACGCTTAAAAAGGTTGAGAAACACTTATAGATATCTAACCAATGCCTTTATCCACTGTCATGTGTCCTTAAGGACAAAGGCGTTAGTTAGATCCAGTGACAGGACCCAAAGAGTTGTGAGTTCAATACCTGGTTAAGGCAGTGTGGAAGTGAATTAACAAGAGATAGCTGATAACTGACATCCATTAGACTTGGCACGTGGAACTAGAACAGTCTAACCCAGCGAGCGAAATAAAGGGTTCAGTTTAACATTCCAACCGCCTGAAGCTTTCCTGTACCTTTTTCTATAAATATTTTCATGTTGTTTTCTTTGGTACCTAGAATTTAAACGCAGGCTTAGACTGGCAGCTAGGTCATATCATTTTACAGTCGAATTGGCTAGATGCTGATAGTTTCTTCTCTCGCACTTCTCGCTTGTGGAACTTTTTTCCGGCTTCTTTCTTTTCAGTCAACTTTGATCTTCAAAGATTTTAATGCAGTGTCACTACTTATCTTTTGACTTTTTAATTTCTGTTCTTTTATCATTCTCTCTCCTGAACAATGCTTTTCTCTTATTTCTTAACCCTCAGTACCCCCCCTGCGTCTTAGTGGCTTTATTGCCTTGCTTGGGATGGCATGATTAAAAGAAAACAAAATTAGAATGAAAAAATATTATTATTTGTTTACTAATGGCCATAAAAGAAAGTTCTTAGGATTTGCGACGAGAAGCAACTGAAATTAAAATGAAAGAAATCCAAGTCCAAAATAATCCGCTTTCATTGCTTGACTGATTTTTTACGGTTTATCAATCTTTTGCAGGTTATTGAGAACCACAAAATATTTTTAGATTGTGAGAATTTTTTGTAAATAGTAATGATTTACTTATACAAGTCCTACTTATTAACCCATAGCTGGGGAGAGAAAACGTGGATTCATACCTTTTCCAAGGCTATTTGTACGTAAGTGAATTGGACTTTGACTATCCGATTTCCAATTCCATGCCATTGCACCACCAGCACATCCAAGCTTACATCACCTGGTATTTTCAAGCGGTCACCCATCTGGTTTCCGACCAGTTTTGACGTTGCTTAACTTCGGTGATCGTACGAAAACCGGTATTTCAATGTGATATGGTACTAAGCTCTCATCTAAGCTCAGACATTATATGTAAGAGGAGAGCGACTAACAAACTGAGTTTAACGTTAAATTTAGTTTTTGGTTTGGTTTGATTTACGGCATATCAACACCGCAATGGGTTATTTAATGACGACAAGATTTTTATTGCTGGTAATATTTTTTTTTAATAATGTATAGCTGGTAATATATTTTTCTTCAAAAATTCATTGCTGGTAATAATTTTTTATGAAAATGTGTTAATGGTACTAAAACCTATTTTTACACGTTTTGACCC